TGCAGTGTTGATTTAAATAAAATAATCTTGAATTACACCAAGTGAACTGAAAATTTTATTGGTGAAATGCCGGCATCAAGCATGGGTCCCCTGAATGGTGATTTCTCCTCCATCCCCACTTCCTTCTTTTCTCCTCCACCCCCATTTCTAATTCCCATCATCATCATCAACCAGGAACCTTCTACATACACACCTCAAAGTAAGTGTACTTTACTGCATTTTTTTTTACTTTGTATGTACTTTTCGGTGAGCTGGAACCAATTACCCAATATCCCATTGAAACAATGGATTCGGTTAACAAAATTTTCGGTTAACGAACGACCTTCTGGAACGAATTGTGTTTGTTAACCGAGGGAACACTGTATTCAGCCACGGAAACAGGAACACGGTAGGCACTGCACTGCATACCATAATGAACACAGGGAAGTTGATCCACCTAGGACTACACTTCACCACATTCATTGGCATTAACAAAACAACAACCCCAGACAAAGCCTTCACCAATAACAAGGCCTTCCTGAATTACCATATATAACAATGACCACTAACTACCAGTGACCACATCCCAATAATAATAAAACTATCTACAAGCACAATCCAAGTTCCAACAACCCTGCATTTCCAAATGCAAAAAGCAAACTGGGAAGGTTACGGGAAGCAACTAGAACAAGTCAATATCCCAGATCTCCAAGGCAAAACACTAGAAGATATAGGCAACAAAACATATACCCTTATACTTAACATCAAAAAGGCAACAGAGAACAACATACCAATCACAACATATCGAACGCTACCACACATCAGGACAACTCATGAATTGTGAATGCTCCAAGTACAATACTGTATAATAACATAATGATGTACATCCAAAACTTTCCACCAACAACAGAGCTTATTAGAAACTTGAGACAAATACCTGTACAACAAAAGTTAAGATATGAAAGCCTGACAGTACACCAACAGATATGGAACGAACTAATAAACAATCTGGATACCACAAGAAATGACAAGAACTTCTGGCAGAGCGTAAACAAAATTCTAGGAAACGACAAACCCCAACAAAAGTACATAAAGGACCAAAACGGGAACAAACTCTTCGAAGAAAAAGAGATAGAATCCGCATACAGGAGAGAATGGAAAAGTATTTCAAATATCAGAAGAAGAAAATGAGCAATTTGATGAGGAACACGAGAATAAATAAGATAAATAAAATAACCCCATACCATGTGGTGGACAAAACCAGGCTCAACACAATTGAACCAATTACAGAAGGAGAACTGCTACACTACATCACACACACTAAAGAAAAAGCACCAGGATTCACAAAAATCACAAGACATATGATCCTATACCTATCCAACAACTGCACACAAGGCATCCTTGAAATATTAAACTCAGCTTTGGCAAGTGGATACTTCATTGACGCATTCAAAAACGCAAAAATCATATTCATACCGAAACCAGCCAAAGACCTCACTCAAGTAATTAACTACAGACCGATTTCTCTACTCGGAGTTATCGGAAAACTATTGGAAAAGTCAATTAACATGAGAATTAGAAAACACAGGAGCGAAAACAGACTACCAAACCCTAGACAACACGGATTTACTGAAAGAAAGGGAACACACACTGTACTGGCCATAATCACGTTAACGTTAGCCAACAAGAAAGAAACCAAGTCAACGTTGTATTAAGAGACGTTAAGAAAGCGTTTGATAAAGTATAGCACTGCTTCAATTAAATCTTCCAGATCCACTAGAAAAAAATCGTCTGTGACTTCTTAAACGAACGCACGGCACAAATACAAATGGTCATCTATATAGAACCACCCAGAGAACTGGAGTACCCCAAGGTAGTGACCCATGCTGTACAACATCTACACAGCAGACCTACCAGAACCACCTCCCTACAGTGAATACATAAGTTTTGCAGACGATATCACACAAATCATCACATACCCCGGCAAATCAACAGCAATAATGGCACAACATACTGCCAACGCAATAGAGAACATCAACCAGTACGAAAAAAGTGGAAGATACAAACGAACACCAACAAGTTCAAAATAATCCCAATCGCTAAAAGGAAAAAAAAGACCATTATAGTAGACAACAAAGTGATTCCATATACCATGGAAGGCACTGTCCTGGGGCTGAAGATAACAACAAAAGGCTACAAAACATTCATCGCCTAAAAACTTGCAAAAACCAGAAACATGTAAATTAAATTAAAACGCTTCAGAAACCTGTCGGCAAAAAACAAGTTAAAGTTATATAGAGCCTGTGTCCAATCCCGACTAGTATATCCACCAATTCCCCTACATGCAATAAAACAAACATAAAGAAACTGCAGACAATTAGCCATAAGGGATGTATATAACATCAGATATCCTGACATAGTCACCAACTGTCAACTACACCAACGAGCACAAATAGAACCCCTAAACGTTTACCTACACTAACGCTCAAAAAGAATTTGGACAAAGTTAGAAGACATAGAGGCAGGACCAATCACAGAATGGATGGAAGAGATAGAAGAAGGAAGAAGAGAACACTCGTGGTTCCCTCACAGTGAAAGAAGAGCCCTAGAACCCACACCAACTCCACTCTATTGAAAGATGCAACGTTACCCCAGTGACAACCTTGACAGCCCTACCACTTATAACATTAGATCATAAAAAGACAGGATGTTCTTAGCAGACACACAAGTACCTGCCCTAGACTCCTCACCATTGGCTAGGACACAAGACCTGAAAATGTAAGGCATAAAATTGCAACACTTGCTAAACATACAAACACCTGACATAGATATAACACCTAAGACAAAAATTAGCTGAAACACAAACATGAGAAAACAGAAGCACTTGGGTTGAGCCCCAAGACCTAGCATCCTACTACAGGTTGTACCTCTCTAGTCCGGCAACCTCGGGACCTGACCGGTGCCGGACCATGGAAATTTCCGGACCATGGAAATTCACCCTTTTCCTGGATAGATAGTGACTTGTGCTTATGCTTGGAAGCACTAGCACCACTTTCTCTGCTTCATGATCTCTTTGAAGGGTTAAATGTCATACAGTAGCTTCTCAAATTTCCCGAGTTTTTAATTCGACGTTTTTTATTTGAACACAAAAAAAAAAATTAAAATTTTGACGGCGGAAACTCGAATTTCGATGTGTTTGAACGGCCCACCAACGTTCAGACGACGTGCACAATCATGTAAACAGCGTCATTTCTCTTATGTACAAAAGATTCATTATTGTTTATTACTGAATGTCTTTTTGATTGAATTAATGTTTATGTGTGCAAAATGAGCAACACAATTCATTAATAATACGTAGAATATTAAAACACATGAGGAAATGAGACAGCATTGTTTTCGTTGATTACAAAACCAGTGACTGATTGGTTCTACATATAAAACTGAAGAAAATAAGACCCTGGTTGTAGCAGTAGTAAAATGAATATGGTTGTTTTAAGTAATGTTATTTAATGTTAATAAATGGAACAATAGAAGTAGCTAACGATAATGGTAAAGAAAAAAGAGAGATCGCGTATGTAAGTGCGCACACGTGAAAACATATCGTCATACTCTATATAAGAATATGAAAGCAACACTAATTTACCGTTCATATATATTTTAATTAATGTTTCTGAATTTTTTTTATTGAATTAATGTTTGTGTGTGCAAAATGAACAATACAATTCATTAATAATACGTGGAATATTAGAGGAGACGAGACGGCTGCCGGCATTGTTTTCGTTAATGCTTACAAAACCAGTGACTGATTGGTTCTACATATAAAACTGAAGAAAATAAGACCCTGATTGTAGCTGTAGTAAAATTACTGTAAAAAAATTAATATGCGTGTTTGAAGTAATGTTATTTAATGTAATAAATGGAACAATATAAGTAGCTAACCATTAATGGTAAAGAAAAAAAGTGAGACTGCGCGTATGTTAGTGCGCACATGTGAAAACATATCGTCATTACTCTACATAAGAATATGAAAGCAACACTTATTTACTGCTCATATATATTGAAGGGTTAAATGTTGTACTCTGTATAGACAAGCAGAGAGAGAAAGAGAGAGAGAGCAGCCGAACTGCTGGATGTAAACAAACCTTAATTTCCCGCGGCTTTGTTGTTGTTTATTTTTTACGGGGATTAGCCCACCTGGGCATAGGTCACTGACCCACATTGGGGCCTGAGGCAAAAATTTAATACTCCTGTAATAATAATAATAATAATAATAATAATAATAATAATAATAATAATAATAATAATGCAGATAAGTAAAAAAAAAAAAAAAAAAAAGCTGCCTTTCTACCTATTGAACAAACTAAAATCGTTCCAAACCACAGGAGTTTCCGGACCACAGAATGCCGGACTAGAGAAGGTACAACCTGTACTACTTTCCAATTTCCTCACCTTTCTTCTTGCACTATCCACCAACCCCAAATCCCTCCAAACTCCACCATAATTCTTCAAGTCCAGTTCCCGCACCACCAATCTACGCACCAGCATCAAGATCTCGTCACACTTTACTTCACCTATCGATTCGATTAATCTGGCACTGTCCTTTCAATTAGTGAAATGCCTTAAATCCATGTGAGTACAGACAGTCCCTGAGTTACCACCGTCCAACTTACAATCACCCACACTGAAGAATGGGATCCTAATACTGTACATTCATCGCAAAATTTTTTAAATAAAATCCCATTTTTTACATTACTTTCTATATTGTTTAACATCACTTTACTTACAGTGTTTACATTATTTGTTATGTATGAGATACTATCGTTGTTTTGTATGGGCAGAGTTGTGCTTTAACCTAACCTAAACTATGGAATTAACTGTTCTGACTTATGAACAAAGTGACTTATGATAAGGGTCCAGGAATGTATCCCTGTCATAAGTCAGTGACTGCCTGTATAATAAAATATTTTACAAAGAACTCAATATGCATTTCGTTATCTGAGGTGAAGAGATACAGTACTTACTTTGAGAGTAGATCAGCATGATAATAGTAGTCTGAGAGTTTGTCGAGGAAGGACCTTGGCTCAAGAATAAATGTTGGCAGCACCACTTTGGATAAATCCATCCCTGGTCGAACTTGTTTCAACAAAAACCATATCAGAGACTTGTTCTCTTCTTCTAATTCTTCTACTTGTTCTCCAGCCTAAAATTAATAATAATAATAATAATAATAATGTAATAATAAAGTGAATTTTCCACACTAGCAAGTATCACCTGCCCCCAAGTCTCTACTTTCACTTAATGTTATTTATACACTGTTAACAACTGTTGTGTCTCCAAACACAAGTCATCACCATCTTGTACTGTACCATCATTAACTTGCTCTACTACTACGTCCTTCACTTGTAGTCCTTCCTCCCTCATCAAACATGTTGGTGCTCTAAGCTGGTCCTGGAAGACTCATCAGACACAAACTCACCTTGGAGGTCACCACCAGAGGAAGGCATCCATACCTTAACCTGACCTAACTAACACCTGGAGGCCAAAGTTTTCACTCAGGGCTTATTGTATGAAGTAACCATTATTAATTTTGAGAGTTAAAAACAATTAATCTCCTGGTCATGGGACCCATATGTAAACAAGAAGCCTTCCAACCACTAAAGATAAAACAGACTGGACTCCTGTCTGTGAACCACTGCTATCCATGACACAGTGACATAACCACCACAGTGGCATATACCACCACTAAGAGTGTTTTGTCAACTAACTTGTTATGACTTATTAAGAACAATGATGAACAGCAGTGTGTGTCCAAGATCCCTGAGTACAGTATCACCTGGGGTAATGGTCCTTGGAACAACACCTAGTGCAACACCCACCATGTTGAGGAACAGTAGCTGGACAGCTGTGTGACTCAACCTGAACTGACTGTCATTTTTTATGTCATCTTATGCTGAAAACAAACGCAGATCAGTGTACCAACTTACACTCAGCAGTGAAAAATCACCAACCATTTTCAGGGTACTGAAACTTTATGACAAGGGTTATCTTTTGGGAGTCTGAGATGAAAGAGAACAATCATTAAATTTCTTTATACAGAATATTCAATTTCCAGATCCCAGTCATAAAAATTGAGGCCCAGGTGCTTGATAATTCAACCTCCTAGACTTGCTAACTGATTTGATCCTGATAAAAGGTGATAAAAGTTTCTCATACCTAAATCAGAATAATCACCAACCAGCTTGTTCCTACCACTGTGACCATCACTACCTCAGCCAGACCTGGAGGTAAACACTGACCTGACTGTGGGTAAGATGTGGCTCAGTGTTGAAGTTCTCTGTCATAGTTACTAAACAAGTGGAAAAATATTTACAGTTTTACCTTTACAGTAGTACTATGTTAGTTATTAAAACATAGAATAAAAGTTATTTGCTAGGGATAAATATATATATATATACTATAGTAATTACTTATTAGAAAGAAGTACAGAGAGCTCACCTCCCCCATCTCCCCTTCCTTAGTGGCTATATATGCAGATTCAATGGGAGTCTGGTCATCTTTTAGCTCTTCATCCTCTTCGTCCTCCCTCCTCTCGTCATCACCTTTGTGAGAGCCGTCCTCAGACTCCGACTCTGTCCCAGACATTGCCTCTGCTCCAGAAAAGTGACCAGATTCGCGATGGTATTCGTTCTCATCTGTATGGCTTGCATCGTCCAGGTCTGCGGGGTTCAGGAGAGGGAAGGGTAAGGTCTGCAGGTTAGGAGGGATGGTGGGAGAGGTTGGATCCGGTTGGGGCCAAACAACAGGCGGTCTGCAGCCTCTTACTGTTAGCTGCTAATTATGGGTCTGAAGCAGCTTTCTTGGCCACTAAGCAATAATAATTTTCAAGGCATTTAAATATGAGAAATACTTATTGAAAGAAAGCATTGATCAAATATAAATACTCCTTCAAGACATTCTACAGCTGTTTATTGATTTATTTTTCAAACTGACAACAACACATGAAAATAACAAGAGATAACTTCCATTGGGTGTGTAATGGCAGCCTCCTCAGTGTCAGCAACAGATAAAAATAATGTAAAACAAGACTCTCATAAGTCATACTTTAACTTTCTTCTTTTAATAATGATTATAATACTGTACCTTATCTACCTAAGGTTGAGTCTCAGTGTAATTATGAAGCCATTGTAGTTATTGAGTATTGACTTTGTTTTAGTGAAGCACTTATTTACCCTCTCAGTACAGGAGAAATTCAAAGTGTAACTTTATGAGAATCTGGCTCAGAATGAAAAGCTTCAGAGTGAAGTACTGTAGTAAGTACAGTATGAATCTTCATAATTCATTCTTTTTAATGCCACATTGTGAAAGGTTTAATATACTGTAGTATTATTAGTACTGTACACAGCCAATATTCATGCACATACTGTATACCCAACACACACAGGCTATATGACATTGTTGGTAATATAACTGGTTTATTAACTTCTAATAGTACAGTACAGTACAGTACATAACAGTACAGTATAGTACAGTACAGATACAGCACAGCACAGCACAGTACAGTACAGTACAGTATAGCAAAGTAGAGTGCAGTGCAGTGCAGTGCAGTGCAGTACAGTACAGTATAGCAAAGTAGAGTACAGTACAGCACAGTACAGTACAGTATAGCAAAGTAGAGTGCAGTGCAGTACACTACAGTACAGTACAGTATAGTACAGTACAGTACAGTACAGTATAGTACAGTACAGATACAGTACAGTACAGTACAGTATAGCAAAGTACAGTACAGTACAGTACAGCACAGCACAGCACAGCACAGTACAGCACAGTACAGTACAGTATAGCAAAGTAGAGTGCAGTACAGTACATTACAGTACAGTATAGTACAGTACAGATACAGTACAGTACAGTACAGTACAGTATAGCAAAGTAGAGTGCAGTACAATATAGTACAGTACAGTACAGTATAGCAAAGTAGAGTGCAGTACAGTATAGTATAGTACAGTACAGTACATTACAGTACAGTACAGTACAGTAAAGTACAGTATAGCAAAGTAGAGTGCAGTACAGTACAGTACAGTACAGTACAGTACAGTACAGTACAGTATAGCAAAGTAGAGTGCAGTGCAGTACAGTACAGTACAGTATAGCAGAGCAAAGTACAGTACATTATAGTACAGTACAGTACAGTACAGTATAGCAGAGCAAAGTACAGTACATTATAGCACAGTACAGTACAGTACAGTACAGTAAAGTACAGTATAGCAAAGTAGAGTGCAGTACAGTACAGTACAGTACAGTACAGTACAGTATAGCAAAGTAGAGTGCAGTGCAGTACAGTACAATACAGTACAGTACAGTACAGTATAGCAGAGCAAAGTACAGTACAGTATAGTACAGTACAGTACAGTACAGTACAGTACAGTAAAGTACAGTATAGCAAAGTAGAGTGCAGTACAGTACAGTACAGTACAGTACAGTACAGTACAGTACAGTATAGCAAAGCAGAGTGCAGTACAGTACAGTACAGTACAGTACAGTATAGCAGAGCAAAGTAGAGTAGAGTACAGTACAGTACAGTACAGTATAGCAAAGTAGAGTGCAGTACAGTACAGCACAGTACAGTAGAGCAAAGTACAGTACATTATAGCACAGTAGAGTGCAGGACAGCACAGTACAGAATGGTACTGTACAGTACAGCAGTACAGCACAGTAAAATACAGTACAGTAAAGCAGAGTACAATACAGCAAAGCATAGCTCAGTAGAGTACAGAAGAGTACAGTACAGTTCATTACAGTACAGCACAGTGCAGTGCAGTACAGCACAGTGTGGTACAGTACAGTATAGTACAGCATAGCACAATACAGTATAGTACAGCATAATACTGTACAGCACAGTACAGTACTGAACAGCACAGTACAGTGCAGAACAGCACAGCACAGTGAAGTGCAGTGCAGTACAGCACAGTGTGGTACAGTACAGTACAGTATAGCACAATAAAGTATATTACAGTATAATACTGTACAGCACAGTACAGTACAGCACAGTACAGCACAACACAGTAAAGTACAGCACAGCACAGTAAAGTACAGCACAGTATAGTACAGCACAGCACAGAACAGTACAGTATAGTATTGTACAGCACAGTACAATTCAGTAAAGTGCAGTACAGTACAATATAGTACAGCACAGTAGAGTACAGCAGTACAGTACAGCACAGTACAGCACAGTACATTAGAGTACAACACAGTGCAGTACAGCTCAGTACAGTACAGTAGAGTACAGTACAGCACTACAGTACAGTACAGCAGTACAGCACAGCACAGTACAGTACAGCACAGTGCAGTACAGTACAGCACAGCACAATGCAGTACAGTACAGTACAGCACAGCACAGCACAGCTCAGCACAGTACAGCCCAGTACAGCACAGTACAGTTCAGTACAGTACAGTACTGTACAGAATATCACAGCACAGTACAGTGCAGTAGAGTAAAGAGCAGTGCAGCACAGTACAGTACCTGTACAGCACAATGCAGTACAGTACAGTACAGCACAGCACACTACAGTACAGTACAGTACAGCCCAGTACAGTACAGTACAGTTCAGTACAGCACAGTACAGCACAGTGCAGTACAGTACCTGTACAGTACAGTACAGTAGAACACAGTACAGTAAATGTATTAATATTTACTTTGTTAATAACATTAGCCACCATTAATAGCATTAGCCACCATTAATAGCATTAGCCACCATTAATAACATTAGCCACCATTAATAGCATTAGCCACCATTAATAACATTAGCCACCATTAATAACATTAGCCACCATTAATAACATTAGCCACCATTAATAACATTAGCCACCATTAATAGCATTAGCCACTATTAATACCATTAGCCACCATTAATAGCATTAGCCGCCATTAATACCATTAGCCACCATTAATAACATTAGCCGCCATTAATAACATTAGCCGCCATTAATAACATTAGCCGCCATTAATAACATTAGCCGCCATTAATAACATTAGCCGCCATTAATAACATTAGCCACCATTAATTAGCCACCATTAATGCCGCCATTAATAGCATTAGCATTAGCCGCCATTAATAACATTAGCCGCCATTAATAACATTAGCCACATTAGCATTAATAACATTAGCCACCATTAATAACATTAGCCGCCATTAATAGCATTAGCCACCATTAATAGCATTAGCCACCATTAATAGCATTAGCCACCATTAATAGCATTAGCCACCATTAATAGCATTAGCTACCATTAATAACATTAGCCACCATTAATAACATTAGCCACCATTAATAACATTAGCCACCATTAATAACATTAGCCACCATTAATAACATTAGCCACCATTAATAGCATTAGCCACCATTAATAACATTAGCCACCATTAATAACATTAGCCACCATTAATAACATTAGCCACCATTAATAGCATTAGCCACCATTAATAGCATTAGCCACCATTAATAACATTAGCTACCATTAATAATATTAGCCACCATTAATAACATTAGCCACCATTAATAACATTAGCCACCATTAATAACATTAGCTACCATTAATAACATTAGCCACCATTAATAACATTAGCCATTAATAACATTAGCTACCATTAATAACATTAGCTACCATTAATAGCATTAGCTACCATTAATAACATTAGCTACCATTAATAACATTAGCCACCATTAATAACATTAGCCACCATTAATAACATTAGCCATTAATAACATTAGCTACCATTAATAACATTAGCTACCATTAATAACATTAGCCACCATTAATAACATTAGCCACCATTAATAACATTAGCCACCATTAATAGCATTAGCCACCATTAATAACATTAGCTACCATTAATAACATTAGCCACCATTAATAACATTAGCCATTAATAACATTAGCCACCAAACAATAACATTAGCCACCATTAATAACATTAATACACCATTAATAACATTAGCCACCATTAATAACGTTAGCCACCATTAATAACATTAGCTACCATTAATAACATTAAGCTACAAATTAATAACATTAGCCACCATTAATAACAGCCATTAATAACAGTGTACCATTAATAACGTTATTACCATTAATAACATTAGCTACCATTAATAACATTATACTATTAATAACATTAGCTACCATTAATAACATTATTACCATTAATAACATTAATACCATTAATAACATTAATACCATTAATAACGTTAATACCATTAATAACATTAGCTACCATTATTATTATTACCATTAATAACATTAGCTACGTAATAACATTAATACACCATTAATAACATTAGCGTAAATTAATAACATTAATACCATTAATAACACGGTAGCCATAAATTAATAACATTAATACCATTAATAACATTAATACCATTAATAACATTAGCCACCATTAATAACATTAATACCATTATTAACATTAATACCAAATTAATAACATTAGCCACAAGTAATAACATTAGCGTACCATTAATAACATTAGCCATTAATAGCGATAGCTACCATTAATAACATTAGCCACCATTAATAACATTAGCCACCATTAATAACATTAATACCATTAATAACATTAGCCACCATTAATAACGGTAGCCACCATTAATAACATTAATACCATTAATAACATTATTACCATTAATAACATTAGCCACCATTAATAACATTAGCCACCATTAATAACATTAGCCGCCATTAATAACATTAGCTACAAGTAATAACATTATTACCAAGTAATAACATTGGCTCACCATTAATAACATTAGCCACCGATAATGGCATTAGCCACCGTTAACTTCAACATTAGCGCATTAATAACGTTAACCACCATTAATAACGTTAGCCATTAATAACGTGGCTACAAATTAATAACATTAGCCACCATTAATAACATTAGCCACCATTAATAACATTAGCCACCATTAATAACATTAGCCACCATTAATAACATTAGCCACCATTAATAACATTAGCCACCATCAATAACATTAGCCACCATTAATAACATTAGCCACCATTAATAACATTAGCCACCATTAATAACATTAGCCACCATTAATAACATTAGCTACCATTAATAACATTAGCCACCATTAATAACATTAGCTACCATTAATAACATTAGCCACCATTAATAGCATTAGCCACCATTAATAACATTAGCTACCATTAATAACATTAGCCACCATTAATAACATTAGCCATTAATAACATTAGCTACCATTAATAACATTAGCTACCATTAATAACATTAGCCACCATTAATAACATTAGCCACCATTAATAACATTAGCCACCATTAATAACATTAGCCACCATTAATAACATTAGCCACCATTAATAACATTAGCTACCATTAATAACATTAATACCATTAATAACATTAATACCATTAATAACATTATACCATTAATAACATTAGCCACCATAACATTAGCCACCATTAATAACATTAGCCACCATTAATAACATTAGCTACCATTAATAACATTAGCCACCATTAATAACATTAGCCACCATTAATAACATTAGCCACCATTAATAACATTAGCTACCATTAATAACATTAGCCACCATTAATAACATTAGCCACCATTAATAACATTAGCCACCATTAATAACATTAGCCATTAATAACATTAGCCACCATTAATAACATTAGCTACCATTCTTTTCCAGTTTTGTTGTCTTTTCAATAATCTTGGGGCTGGCCTTCACAAAGTACTTCTTTGGTCTCTTATGCTTCTTAGGTGTGTTTCCCTGTGAGTGTTCAGAATAACTGGCATCTTCAGGAGTTAATGACATTCTCTTGTTGGAGCATTCACCCATAAGCTCCTGATCAGCCAAGTGAATGGCTGCTGCCAACCTACGATAGTACGGAGTTGGTGATGGATCCCGGTTTACCCCGCCACCAAGTAGGACCTTATGGGTGGGTGTGCCCTCCACACTAGAGGCACCAGCAAGGTGAATGGTACAGTCCCGCCACACTGACTGAGGCGATGTTACTGGACTGTTTTCTGGACTCACACCGGTACTTGAGTCATCAGATATATCTGGATTTTGTAAAGTTTATATCCATTGTCATTTAGAAGGAATTACAAAATTCACAATTTAATTAATTGGGGCAACAGGTGTATGTATCAGTCATGTGTGTTAGACACAACAACAATTTTTTTTAAGATGTTCAAGATTGATCCCACAAAACCACACCCAATTAATGCAATATAAGATACAGTGTAACAGTTACATAAGAACATTTTTAATTTATTACATACACCATGCAATGTTTAATTAATTAAGAGAGATCCAAATGCAAGAGTTACATGTGAATGTAAAAGGCATGCAGTATCATGCAACAAGAGATGAAGATATACAAGGCAATGTATATGACCATGACAGCAGTGGAGAGGAGGCAGCCAATGAGGTGGGAGGAAGGGGACAGAGAAAGAGACACATAAGTGGACGATCATTGAAAGTATACATAAGCTCTTTACAACATGACATACACACTTGTTTATATTACCCTAATGGTACTCCAAAGTGTGTTGTAAACAGTTAACACTCAACTTATAGCAACTATATAGTCCTATGAAGAGATCTATCAGATACACATATTAACACATTAACTCTGGTCTATAACAATGAACCATCTTACTATGACTACCACACTTACCTTGGTCATTAAAGTGCTTCTCATAATCAGACTCATTCCACTTATCAGCTGCGAGAGTAGAAGAGTTGATGGAATTGTTGGCATCTGTCTTATTTGAGGAGGTCATGGATCGGATGAGAATGGAGGAACATCGGACAGCCAGCTCCATGGCGTCCATCCAGCACTTTCCCGCTGCCTGCGATGGGGCTCGGAAGATAAGGTGCGACGAGGGAAGTGGCTGCACGACTGCCCCTGCGTTAGTTCCAACATCCAAATATAGTATTATACAACAACTACCTGTGCTGAACAGCTTTACACTGACACATCAACAGAGAAAAACAATTATGGTAAATTATTTATATTAAAACAAGTATCTCTTGTACAATGTTCAACAAACTCCTCGAGCATCTTCTCACATAATATATCACAAAATTCAATGCCAACTTTCATAATACCTGTAATTACAATATCACAATCAGATGACATAATTTACAGTCACAACCAATAGGTCACTCCTTCCCTGGGCCATCCAAACTGAGGAAGTATCAACCCCTACTGAGATATAACTACTGTAAACACTTGAACCACATGACAGTCAGAGTAACCCAGTTCATGACCAATTTCTCTGTCTCATTCTCACAACAGGCAGCGACCGTCCATATTCCATCCTAATTAGTTCATTTACTTTAATTGTTGCATCACAGTTAGTTGACATGAATAGACCTTGATGTCCTCCCCATTGTTCTTCATGGCTATAGTGTCATCCTCCATTGTTCTTCATGGCTATAGTGTCATCCTCCATTGTTCTTCATGGTTATAGTGCCATCCCTCCATTGTTCTTCATGGCTATAGTGTCAACCCCCATTGTTCTTCATGGCTATAGTGTCATCCCCCATTGTTCTTCATGGCTATAGTGTCATCTCCATTGTTCTTCATGGCTATAGTGTCATCCCCCATTGTTCTTCATGGCTATAGTGTCATCTCCATTGTTCTTCATGGCTATAGTGTCATCCCCCATTGTTCTTTTATGGCTATAGTGTCATCCCCATTGATCTTCATGGCTATAGTGTCATCCCTCCATTGTTCTTCATGGCTATAGTGTCATCCTCCATTGTTCTTCATGGCTAGTGTCATCCCCCATTGTTCTTCATGGCTATAGTGTCATCTCCCATTGTTCTCCATGGCTATAGTGTCATCTCCCATTGTTCTCCATGGCTATAGTGTCATCCCCATTGTTCTCCATGGCTATAGTGTCATCTCCCATTGTTCTCCATGGCTATAGTGTCATCCTCCATTGTTCTCCATGGCTATAGTGTCATCCCCCATTGTTCTTCATGGCTATAGTGTCATCCCCCATTGTTCTCCATGGCTATAGTGTCATCCCCCATTGTTCTTCATGGCTATAGTGTCATCCCTCCATTGTTCTTCATGGCTATAGTGTCATCTCTCCATTGTTCTTCATGGCTATAGTGTCAGTGCTGTACACTAGCCCAGAGTAACTAGGAAAACCTCAGATGTTTGGTCAAGCAACACTTACCCTTCTCTCACCTAACCAGTGTTGTGAGCATTACTTTATAAAAATAACGCCATTACTGTTACTTGGTAGAAAATGTAAAACCGTTACCACTGCCGTTACAATTTCAAGAAGTAACTTGTTACTGTTGGTTACTTTGTGTGTACGAGATATTGGTCGTATTAGTACAGTCTCTCCTTGACTCACGACGGGGTTCCGCCCAGACGACCGGGACGTAAGTCGAAAAGGCGAAAATAATACATAGAAAATCTAAAATGGGTGTCTCTTTTTCTTCTCAGCACCACGAGAACTCTCACTTTTACGCTTGCCAGCCATTTTTAAGGGAATTACAAACAAAAATTTTGTCAGTACACAGCGCGATCACTAACGTCGGGACTCAAAAATACGTAATGCGAAAAATATTTTATACGACCACGGCCGTCGTATGTTCGGGTTGTCGTAAGTTGAGGAGGAGACACCGTACACTAGAGCAAAATTGTGTAAATTACAATTGGTTTAATAACAAAACAATACAAACATTAATTCCTTTATTTCTATTTTTCTTCCATAATTATTGTATCAAACACTTGTTAGATACAATAAAGGAATTGAATAAAAATATTTTCTTAATATATTTCAAACATATTTATTATGTTTTAATATATAACTGTCATAACCGAAAAGTTTGGAAATTATTCCACCGCAACGTGGAAAGACATCCGACATTTCCACATCCACGACGGATGCACAATTGTTTTCCGCGCCACGTTGCCAAGATTCCACAAAGAGCAACACTGCTGTGTAAGTGTAACAGGACTTGACAGGAAGTGACAGCAGCAAAACATGATGGCCACTGTACAGTATTCAGTTACTCGTGTCGAGTTTTTCCAATGTTGATATATATTTATTAAAATATAAAAGTAATGATTGACAATTGGAATTATCCACATAAGTAACGCTGTTACCAATATCGTTACAAATTTTCTTAAGTAGCAGCATTACTGCAATTGTTACATAAAAAGTAACAGTGTTACTAATAACGGCTTTACTCCCAACACTGCACCTAACCCAGGACACAATGGCGAGAGGTAAGCATGTTACCACTGTACAGTACTGAGCACATCAACAGGTTCTGACCAATAACCTGCCTCAACTCACAAGAAATGTACAGTGAACCCTCGAAGATCCGGACTAAAAAGTCGATTGTCCGAATCTTCCGGCTAATAATAAATGATATAAGAAACACCCAAAATACAGCACTAATGTAGTGATAAACAAATTACTGTATATAAACCATGACTTTACCTGTGATAACATAATAAGAAACATTGTATCATTACTAGAGTCAATGAAATAATATTACCACAAACAACAACTGTTTATGTTTCCCACCTCCTCGGGCACCAAGCAACTGACGGGTCAAGCAGCATCCACGGGCCTAAAATATTTTTGCTCTGGTTTGGTAATGTTTCTTAGGGAAGCTTCTAGGAGGCTTCAGCCCAGAACCCCCAAAGTTTTTGTCCGGATCTTCCGAAATCCGGATTTCCCGGGTCCGGATCTTCGAGGGTTTACCGTACTGTACTATGCATGATAGAACACCACAAAACAAGTTTTCCTCTGTTTTAAACTTACTAAATGTTGTCCCTTGTAACCTAAACTGAGGTATAATTAATGACCACAAACTGTACACTCACCCATTGTTTCCCCCTCAGGTCCCTTGGTGGCCCAGATAGACTGTTCAAGAGGATGGAAGAGCTTGAAACAGAATCCATCCTTTTTTGATGGCCGCTCAATCAATTCACATGTGTTAAGTAACACTGTCCCCACCCAGTGGCTGCTCTGTAGGAAGATGTGGAGGGTTAACATTTGTCTCATCTTACAGTAAGGTCTTCTCTCTACACCCATAAGGTGGCAGCACAAAGTGTGTGTTATGGTCCCAACAGTACAACCTTCTGTTTGATGAACTTCATAGCTGACTGATTTAGGAATAAAAACCACTCCATTAAACTGATGAAGCACCACTTGACTACCAGGAGACACAAATGTATGAAAACAACAACTGAATCACAGAGTACAAGTGAAGTGTAAGATACTGTACAGTATAGGTGAAGTGTAAAATACTGTACAGTATAAGTGAAATGTAAGATACTGTACAGTATAGGTGAAGTGTAAGATACTGTACAGTATAGGTGAAATGTAAGATACTGTACAGTATAGGTGAAGTGTAAGATACTGTACAGTATAGGTGAAGTGTAAAATACTGTACAGTATAAGTGAAATGTAAGATACTGTACAGTATAGGTGAAGTGTAAGATACTGTACAGTATAGGTGAAATGTAAGATACTGTACAGTATAGGTGAAGTGTAAGATACTGTACAGTATAGGTGAAGTGTAAGATACTGTACAGTATAGGTGAAGTGTAAAATACTGTACAGTATAAGTGAAATGTAAGATACTGTACAGTATAGGTGAAGTGAAAGATACTGTACAGTATAGGTGAAATGTAAGATACTGTACAGTATAGGTGAAGTGTAAGATACAGTATAGGTGAAGTGTATAGGTGAAGTGTATACTGTACAGTATAGGTGAAGTGTATGTAGTATACTGTACAGTATAGGTGAAGTGTAAAGTATATAAGTGAAATGTAAGATACTGTACAGTATAGGTGAAGTGAAAGATACTGTACAGTATAGGTGAAATGTAAGATACTGTACAGTATAGGTGAAGTGTAAGATACTGTACAGTATAGGTGAAGTGTAAGATACTGTACAGTATAGGTGAAGTGTAAGATACTGTACAGTATAGGTGAAGTGTAAGATACTGTACAGTATAGGTGAAGTGTAAGATACTGTACAGTATAGGTGAAGTGTAAGATACTGTACAGTATAGGTGAAGTGTAAGGTACTGTACAGTATAGGTGAAGTGTAAGATACTGTACAGTACAGGTGAAGTGTAAGATACTGTACAGTACAGGTGAAGTGTAAGATAATGTACAGTACAGGTGATAATAATGAAGGTAAATACCTGTAGTGTGTCACCAGCACTGTACCTCTGGTCTATGCTACATGGTAACTGCCAGAGGGGATATTCATCAGTTGATGGACTATGTTGAAATTTATTTTGAAAATAACCACAATAACTTTGCTGTGTAAAATACTGCACAGCACTGTACTGTACACTGTTGTGTTAACTCTGATCTTATTACAGCATACTGCACAGCACTGTACTGTACACTGCTGTGTTAACTCTGATCTTAATACAGCATACTGCACAGCACTGTACTGTACACTGCTGTGTTAACTCTGATCTTAATACAGTATAGTGAACAGCACTGTACTGTACACTGCTGTGTTAACTCTGATCTTAATACAGTATAGTGAACAGCACTGTACTGTACTGTACACTGCTGTGTTAACTCTGATCTTAATACAGTACAGTAACAGCACTGTACTGTACTATACACTGCTGTGTTAACTCTGATCTTAATACAGTATAGTGAACAGCACTGTACTGTACTGCTGTGTTAACTACAATACAGTATAGTGAACAGCACTGTACTGTACTATACACTGCTGTGTTAACTCTGATCTTAATACAGTATAGTGAACAGCACTGTACTGTACTGTATAGTGAACAGCACTGTACTGTACACTGCTGTGTTAACTCTGATCTTAATACAGTATAGTGAACAGCACTGTACTGTACTATACACTGCTGTGTTAACTCTGATCTTAATACAGTATAGTGAACAGCACTGTACTGTACTACACTGCTGTGTTAACTCTGATCTTAATACAGTATAGTGAACAGCACTGTACTGTACACACTGCTGTGTTAACTCTGATCTTAATACAGTATAGTGAACAGCACTGTACTGTACTATACACTGCTGTGTTAACTCTGATCTTAATACAGTATAGTGAACAGCACTGTACTGTACTATACACTGCTGTGTTAACTCTGATCTTAATACAGTATAGTGAACAGCACTGTACTGTACACTGCTGTGTTAACTCTGATCTTAATACAGTATAGTGAACAGCACTGTACTGTACTATACACTGCTGTGTTAACTCTGATCTTAATACAGTATAGTGAACAGCACTGTACTGTACTATACACTGCTGTGTTAACTCTGATCTTAATACAGTATAGTGAACAGCACTGTACTGTACTATACACTGCTGTGTTAACTCTGATCTTAATACAGTATAGTGAACAGCACTGTACTGTACTATACACTGCTGTGTTAACTCTGATCTTAATACAGTATAGTGAACAGCACTGTACTGTACTACTGCTGTGTTAACTCTGATCTTAATACAGTATAGTGAACAGCACTGTACTGTACACTGCTGTGTTAACTCTGATCTTAATACAGTATAGTGAACAGCACTGTACTGTACTATACACTGCTGTGTTAACTCTGATCTTAATACAGTATAGTGAACAGCACTGTACTGTACTGTACACTGCTGTGTTAACTCTGATCTTAATACAGTATAGTGAACAGCACTGTACTGTACTATACACTGCTGTGTTAACTCTGATCTTAATACAGTATAGTGAACAGCACTGTACTGTACTATACACTGTATGTATAGCTGTACTGTTCTTAATGACTGTATAGTGAACAGCACTGTACTGTACTATACACTGCTGTGTTAACTCTGATCTTAATACAGTATAGTGAACAGCACTGTACTGTACACTGCTGTGTTAACTCTGATCTTAATACAGTATAGTGAACAGCACTGTACTGTACTATACACTGCTGTGTTAACTCTGATCTTAATACAGTATAGTGAACAGCACTGTACTATACACTGCTGTGTTAACTCTGATCTTAATACAGTATAGTGAACAGCACTGTACTTACAATGTTCACCAAAAGAGACCTGACTACAGTACAGTACTTGGGTTATAATTATGTCACTGTACAATATCTTACTAACAACTAGGTACACAACTGTGGGTGGACACTAACACTAAGATTATTAATGGCAAAATTCAAGTTGTTTTGTACGATAAAAAAAAAGGCCTCATAACTCAGTGGTGATGGGTACAGTAAAAGGCCTCATAACTCAGTGGTGATGGGTACAGTAAAAGGCCTCATAACTCAGTGGTGATGGGTACAGTAAAAGGCCTCATAACTCAGTGATGATGGGTACAGTAAAAGGCCTCATAACTCAGTGGTGATGGGTACAGTGAAAGAACAACTTATTTCTCCCCTACAGTACTGTATGCTGTACAGTATCTTAGTCTGGCAGTTTTGATCTGTGATGTTATCTTGGCTGCCATATTATAATTTATGGCCATGAGAGATGACAGCCAATATTCACTGATGCTAACATCTATAACTCTCACTCTCCTTAACTATAGATCAACCTTATGTATTTCCTCTCACTGTGACCCGTGATAACTGGTGACTACCATCCCCCATGTTAGAGAAGACCCCCCCCTTACCTTGACTTTGGCACTCTTATAGAGGAGTAACATGCCAGGCTTGAGCACACACCACAGCTTGGTCCATCCTTTGAGTGAGCCGCGCACCTTGAGCCAGTCAGCCAGCACCACCACCGCCGGGTCCTTCAGCGTGCTCAACAGCTCCCTAGCCACACGCTTCTTCTCCCGCCGGTACTTCCGTCGCTGATCTTTGTAAGATTCCTTCCGGGAGAGAGGGAAAGCCTGCAGGCCAGAGAGGACAATTAAAACAAGGAAAAAACTACAGTCACAATTGACTAGTGAAGTAATACATTACAAATATAATATGTCTTAACAAGTCAGTTGTCACTTTTGGGCAGCTTGTAGGCCAAGTACAGTATTAAACAAAATGGACAATAAAGTAAGTTAAAAAATAATATAAAAATTCGGAGATAAAACACGTACAATTATCACACATTTATCTCATATCTGTTTCCTCTGATAAACTGAGTTGATTATAAACACTCTGTAGTGCTGAAGTCTGACTTCCCTTTACAGCAAATGGCAACTCTTATAATCAGTGTTTTTTTAAACCCTAGTGAACTAAAGTACAGTACAGTATAAAATATATTTATAAATATTCCTGTGGCTATTACAGTTTATTCACTTGTTCCTTTATCAATTTTTTTTCTTAATAAAACATATCTGAGTTTGTCTTATTTGTCTTTCAGTAGTTATCAAGATCTGTTCTGCATCTCCCACATGATCCGTCGAGCAAAGATGATGTAAACATTCTTCTCACATCAAACAACACCTCGACCACCTCATAACTCTATTAACACTGTCTAACATAATATTCTCCAATGTCAAAGTAAAAAAAAATAGTCATTACTGTATTTTTTTCTTGTCGTACTTTATAGTCTTCTGTAATATTTATAGTACTTCAAATTTATATTAATAAATCAGAATAATTTTTATACTGTATTGTACTGCAACTTAAACCTCCTGAATAAATTAATGCACCAGCTTCAAAAACACTCCCACAAGTAGTTCACATTCATAAAGAGTATTTAACTAACTTAACAATACATTAATAAATAAGAGAAAATTTGAATGATATCAACACATGATTCATTCTTATAAAATATTCCTCAGTGAACTACAAATGTACTGTATAATAAAAGTGTCCCCTAAAGTCTCACTACTGAACCATCCATGCCATAATGTTATCACCAAGAACAATCAAGCATAATTTTTTATTTAAATAACAAGTAATAATTAATTAAATGAAACACTATTGACTACAGGCATTTCCCAAGTTATGAATGAGTTATGTTCCTGGACTCCTGAAGTCAGAGCACAACCTGCCTATAAAAAACAACAATAATATCTCATGCAGTACATAACAAATAATGTAAACACTGTCAATAAAGTAACGTTAAGCAATATAGAATAATGAAAGTAATATTAGAAATGGGACTTTAATTTCATATTTTTATAAGTCGGACGGTCATAACTTGGGAACTACTGTAATCTGTTTTGTTGGTCACGTAAATTCACAATAACTTCCCCTGAACATGCAGTAGTCCTCACTGTGAGGGTAGTAAATAAGATACAGGTATATGATAACCCGCCACAGGTGACACCTCACCCATGTCTTAAACTGAATCTCTAGAAACAATCCCACAGTATTATGACTGAGAAACAGGTCAGCTGCAGGTCCACACTGTAACGCTCCTACACAGAACCTTCCTTGGCTAGGGCGCTTTATTTTTGTTTTATCGATTAATTTTATTGGCAATTCATTACATGTACTGTACAGTAGTACCCCGATTTACGCGGTCAATTGAACCCACGAGGTACAGCGTAAAGTGAACAACAGAACATATGGGATTAATTCCAATAGAGACTGGCCCGACCCCCAAACTCCACTTTTTGACGACACACAACTATGTTGTAGTAAAAATATTATCTTAACTTTATGATGGTATGCACACACAATTAATAATTAAGAGAAATATCAATAATATTAGTTTTTTTAACACTTACATTACCGTAGTAGAAAAGATGACTGGGCACACAGGGATGGGGGGTTGGTTCCGAGGCAGAGGGCAGATTATTGGCCCTCACCTGTATCACTTGTATCAATTGTATCACTATCCACCACATAGGCTTGCAGGGCCTCTTTGTCAAACCCCTCAAAGTCCATATAAGTCCATATCCTCACTATAATTATCACTATCACTGACTTGGGCCGGCTGTGGTGGGTGGCGGGCGAAGAACTCGGTAATGTTTTGATGACTGGGCGACCTTGTGCGCACCCTGCAGTAAAGTAAACCCATTATTCACCAAATAACCGACCAGCCGCGGCAGCACTCATCCCGTCCTTTAACTTGTCTAATAATTCAACTTTCTTTGTCAGGGTCATCACTGACTTCTGCCTTTTACATTTCACTCCACTAGCACTGACACTAGGCAGTCTTTTAGGGGATATTTTCACACAAAAACACTAAAGTTTTGAAAGTACAACACCAGCTGCTGCGGGAAAAGGCTCGCAAGCTAGCCTCATACCATAGGCAACATTTGCTTACTGCGAATTGCAAGTATCTACTGTACAGGTATGTATACCCACTAAAAAATTATTGGTCACCCTTACGGCGTGATACAATATGACACGGGTGCCGAATAATTTTTCGTGGGTGCACAAACAATAATTACAGGTTAAACACTTATCATGTACTGTACTGTACTGTACTGTACTGTAATGTACAGTACAGTACATGGCATAATTAGGGAGTTACTATAATGTTTCTTCTGTTTTTCTTCTCTCTGCTGGCAAATAATAATTTACTGTCACTTTGCTTTTGGTCCATTAATTTAAAATTTGGCAGCGTTGTACCTTGTCCAAACACTCTCATGGCACTATTATTTTTCTTATTTCTGGCCTTTTTAAGGATCTTACAGATCAAAGTCAAACACCCCAAAACATATAGTACTGTACAGGTATCCCCTTATTTACAATAGGGTAGTGTTCCTCAGAACTCAAACACAAACTGAATTAACGTAAATCATGAGCCTTTTAACATGGATTTCAATGGGAAACCTTCATGGCCTGCTGACACAGACATGTAATACAGAGAAAATGATCCCACACTAATTAAAAAAACGCACATCACATTAATGATAATAAGCTCACTCCTTCCCCTCTCTGAGGCCACTTAACACTATCTCCTGAGACACAGTCTTCCTTGAAGTCTTGGCTCTCTCAAAGGTGAGAGACTCAGCTTGGTAACCATTTTTAAAGTAACATAATTACTGTACCATACACTGATCACTTCATTGTCACCAAAACAGATTAATATCTGAATGACAATGTTTCCTCTCACCAATAACAGCAAAGTATCACAGTGATCACAAGGTTATGCAATGATTAATAATTAATGATCACGGAACAAAGTGCGGGACTGTGGTTCGCACGGTGACCAAGAGGTGGCATGTGGGTTGGTGAACTGCACGGAGGATGGTAAAGCAGTTTCTGTACGTACAGTGAACCCTCGGTAAACGAACGCCTCGGTTAACGAAATTTCGGTTAATGAATTACCTTCCATAAGATTCTTCACTTCGGTTAACGACAAAATTTCAGTTAACGAATTCCTTACGAATTTTTCCCAACATGTTTTCGCCTGCTTTTGCCTGCTCACCAGCTGTACTGTAGTATTAGTCTGCCAATACAGTAATCGGTTTTAGGGCTTAAATTCATTACCATTTGAGTTAATATCAAGAAAGTTGTACTATTCAATAATTTTCCAAGTCTTATATTAAAGTTTTTAGTCAATTTGACAATTATTTAACATAATTGAAGTACAGGGAACTAGTTTTTAGCATGCCAAACAGCCACTTGACTCATCCAAAATGGCATCAGTGTGTGTCTCTGCTCAGTGGAGGAACCATCTTGCTTGAGACTCTCTTCAACATAAACTATTTTTATGTTTTTACAGTACAGTATAGTCTGGATTTACGCGGTTTTTTTTTACACGTTTGGTCATTTACGCGGCACCTTGCCAGAATGAAATGTTTTAATTACGCGGTAAATTTCATCATTTACGCGGGTGAAGTATAATTTTACTGAAGATATTTGTTTTTAGCTCATAAAATACATAATTTAAATTGCTGGAATTCTTATAAGATGGTGATTATCTTAAATATAAACATCACAAAATTTGCATTAGACATACAAATTTTAGATCCAATGTAAGAATTTTATTTGAAAGAGCAAAAATTTTATCTTTTGTGCAAAATATATGATGTTTTTATTCCAAATATTCCTTGTCTTGAAAGGAATCCAGCAATGTCAATTATATTATCCTAACTTTAGTCTGAGGTATTATTTATTACTAAAAATGTAAGCCTATTGTTTTCACCAAAACATTTCTCAGAGAGGGAGGAGCCAGCGAGCGTGGGAAGAAAGGGGGGGGGGAGTTAGAGTCCATTATTTGAATGGACATTAACCGGGCGACTGTATTTCTCTTAAATATTAATTGTGTGTGCGTACCATCATAAAATTAAGATGTTATTTTTACTACAACGTAGGCATTGTGTCGGAAAAAGTGGAGTTTGGGGGTCGGCCCAGTCTCTATTTCAATTAATCCCATATGTTCTGTTATTTCATTTACGCGTTTCTCGTTTTACGCAGACCTCCACATGTTCAATTGACCGCATAAATGCAGACTATATTGTACAATTATTGGTCGTTCTGAAGTTTATTTTACATATTGACAATATTTAATGCAGTGCAGTGTTGAGTTAAAGAAAATAATATTGCATTGCACCAAGTGAACTAAAATTTTATGGTGAAATGGCAGCATGAAGCATGGGGTGACTTCTCTTCCACCCCAATGCATTGTCTTCTCCCTTCTCCTCCACCCCCATTCTAATTCCCATCATCATCATCATCAACCAGGAGCCTTCTACATGCACACCTCAAAGTAAGTGTACTGGACTGCATTTATTTTTAGTTTGTATGGAATTTTCGGTGAGCTGGAACCAATTACCCAAAATCCCATTGAAACAATGGTTTCGGTTAACGAAATTTTTGGTTAACGAACGACCTTCTGGTACGAATTGTGTTCGTTAACCGAGGGGTCACTGGCTAGGATCATAGGTTAACTTGTTTGGTTAAATGAAGGGAAATATCCGTTTCTTCAGTGTTTACGTCCCACATCAGTGCGTTTAACCTTATGATAAATATCGTCACAGCAAATTTT